CTCTTGTGTATATTATTTTTATATTAACCTTTATATTATTAATCATCTATTTAATAACAAAGTATATTTTAATCTATTTTTTATTTATACGTTGTACAATAGTATTATTGTATTATTATAGTTTATCACAATTTTATTTTTATTACAACGTTCCTTCATATTATTTCGCATGTCGCATTCTTACGTGTATCATTTCTACATTAACATCTATATTATAAATCATCTATATCTAATAATCAAGTATATTTCACTCTATTTTATTAATATATTATACAATAGTATTATCATATTATTACAATGTATCACAATTTTATTCTTACTACAATATTTCTCGATACTATTTTTTTTTTTACACACACTATTATATTATTACTCACTATTATTATCCTATTACAAAAACTGTCCTTTTAAATCCGTCGTGCCGACGGGTTGGAGTAGAGCGAACGTAACGAAGAGCGAGCGAGATAGCGACGAGGGTGATCGGGTGGCTGACGGCGGGGTGGCGACGGGCTGTGGGGTGGGTTGAGGGTGCTCGGCCGGTGGCGTAGCGCGGGGTGCGAGAGAGAGTCGGAGGGATGTGAGAAAGGAAGGGATGCCAGGCCGCCCGCCGGTTCACCCTCACTAACCCGCGGCTCGCTCGACTCTTCAGTGCGGCCTGAACGGTTAACCGGCCTACTTCTCTCTCTCCTTCTGCGCTTCGCCGCTTTGGTCCCGCCGCTGCCAACCCTCGTCGTCGTCGTAGTCGTCGTCGTCGTCGCGACGTCGTTGCACCACCGTCGTCACACCGCTGTGGGGCCTGCTCGATTGGTGTAACCCATCGATGTAACGTCGCGAGAGGAACGCGAGATAAGAAACTGCTAGAGAGAGAGAGACTCTCTCGCTCTTCCTTTCTATCTTTTCTTTCTCTCTCTCTCTCTCTCTTTCTCTCTCTCTCTCTCTCTCTCTCTCTTTCATTCTTTCTTTATTTCTCTTTATTCTCTCTTATCATTCGCGAGCGGCTCGCAGCCTCCGCAGCAATTCGCCGTTGTGGACAGCCGGCCTAAAAGAAGAAGAAGAGGACAGTTCGCGATCTCGGGGGTGGTTTTTCCTCGGTAGTGGTGTTCGGAACTGTGACTCGATCTCGCTCGTGAGTAAACGGAGAGTTACATCGAAGAGTTACGACACTCGGAGGAGATCGCTCTCGCTCTCGTTTTCCTTCTCTCACTCTTTCTTTCTCTTTCTCTCTCTCTCTCTCTCTCTCTCTTTCTTTCTCTCTCTCGTCGACGCTGACGACGACGTTTCGCCAACGGACGACGACGAACGGACGCTACCCCGCTCCACCGCGGGAAGCCGTAAGTCTATCTCTCTCTCTTTCTCTTTCGTCTCTCTTCTCCTGTGCTCTGTGCCGAAGATCGATTCCTCTCTCTCTTTCTCTCTCCCTTGTCCCCTATCCCCTTCTCTCTCTCTCTCTCTCTCTCTCTCTCTCTCTCTCTCTCTTTCGTTTTATTACGCGGGCTCGCGTAAAAGTCTCTCGCTTCCACGCGCTCCGATCTCTCGCCTCGCCTCGCCTCCTCTTACTTTGTTTCTTCCTCCAGCTCCGTCGGTGTCACCCCCGCTCTCATTATGTTCGTTATCTTCTCCGCGCGGCCCCTGCGAAACGCGACGCAGAAGGCCGTGGCTGTCGTAGCGACGGCGGTGGTAGCGTGGCGAGCTGTACCGGGAGAGAGAGCTGCGTGGATCTGCGTGGGGCTGCGTAGATGACAGCTGCGGCGGGGGTGGCCTGACGGCTGACGGCTGACGGCTAACGCGGAGCATCCGTGGCTCCGGATTCTTCCAATGATCGTTTCACGATCGAAATCGCGAAGAATCGGGAGTCCCCGATCGCGTGCCAATCGCGAGCCAAGCGCCTAGTTTTCAATTCCTCGCAGGACGTCCTGTTAGAAAACTTCTCTCCCGCAACCCCCACCATCCCCAGAATCGCATTAGAGATCGCGAGATCTGCGCCGAATATCCAAGTCTATCTTTCGCAAATCTTTGCTCAGCGCGGTTTCTTCCTTTATTCTTTGTTTATTCTTTGGCTGAGCTCACCTGAGGAGATTTATAATCCGCTATGGAATTATGCGTAAGAAAACGCTCGAATAATCGGGATAAGCGGTTGTATGATATATATATAATAGCTGTTAAAAGTCTTCGGTCGATCGTAATTTTACAGATAATTTTTATCAATCTATTTTTCAGTTTGTACTCTAAATTCATAAAAATCTTGTTACAATCAATTTAATATCACGCTATTTTAAATACTAGTGTATGTATATTCAAGTATTTGGTATTTTAATCAGGATTACCACAAAATTGGAAATCGGAGAAATGTCCGGGAAATCAGTGAAAAGTCTGAGAATTTTGCAAAATTTTCCGGAAAATAAAAATTCCTATCTTCAAAAGATTTAATATACGTATCTCATATCCATATGCAGTTTGGAAGATTATCAATTTAACTTGACAACGAAAAATGCAAGCAGTATCAGCAATATTAACAATAATTTACAATATTAAATTAAATTGATCTCTCAATAAAATATTTCCAAATCAAAACGAAAATACAAAAAATTTCGAAATATTATTGAAAGTCAGAGAAACTCATAAAATTTTATCTGGAAATCAGAGAAAAGTCATGGAATTTTAGAAAGACGAATTTGTGACAACTTTATGTATTAATTTTTCTTCGTGAAGATTTTTTATCTGTCAACGAAAAATGCAATAAAATTACTTATTAGCCGGAAACTTTTGGCAGTCACTGCCATATCGCATATTTTGTATGATATACACGCGCGAGTACAGAAAATGTACCGCAGAGGATATAGAGATATATGTTTCGAAAAACTTCATCGGATTATTTATAAATTAAAAAACGAGCTTGAAAAACAAGCAATTTTTCAAAAGAAAGATACATTTGTATAAACGCGCGTGCGAGATCTCAATAGTTTTCCAACAATTCTTTCAATAAGGCTCAATTTATCTCTTCTCTGCACTGAGAAAAAATGTACTAAATTGTTATAAATATTTATTTGAACGGTGCTAACTAAACATTTATTTACAATAAATAAATATTTATTCAATAAAAAAAAATTATTAACAATATTAAACAAAGTATCTTTTAAGACCATAATAAAAAAATAGGAAATAAACTCTAACAGTCCTAAAAAATTGTTAAATTAAATTAATCATAGTTTGGTATCAAATAAAATAAATATATCTTTATATTTAATAAGTATTTAGTTGATACTATTCAAACGAATGATTTATTAAAATTTAGTACATTTCATTTCGATGTATTTATTTATCCATTCGTATTTATTTATCCATTCCTGTCAAGTGTAAAGTCGTAAAAGTGCAATTTGGGAATCTCTTCGATTTGCAAACTTGCATAATCCCGTGCATGGTATTAATGAACAATGTCTGTCGATTGTCACATGTGCCCACTCTTTTAAATTATAGACTTTTAATACGCTCTTTCTCTTTCGCCAAGTACGTAATAGGCGTAGGCGTCTCTGATCGGAAAAAAAACTTCGGTTTGCACATTCGCAGACCTTTTAATGTGCGCATAACGTATCGGATAAACTAACTTTTAATTTCGTTCCCTTTTTTTTCCCTTCGCCGAGCACGCGAGTGCGGTTAAGTGTCCGTTCTCCGTTACAGGAGATCTTCGGTTCGTATTTTCGCGAAACTTTTTGCGCTACACGGTATTACTATAACGTGTCGATTAAAGCCCACGCCATTATACTCACCCCCGCCACCGGTCCCCGCCACCGTTCCTCGTTGTGGAATAATTAACCGCTATGCAGCAGCGTACCGCGAAACGACGCGATCGATTTTAGGTCACGATCGTTCGCCCGTAATCCGATTAGCTTCTGCAACAGAATGATAAGTAACGACGACAGCGATAAACAATGACGCAAGAACGGAGATTCAGGCGACGCTGAAGCCACCGTCGGCGGTGCACATACCTGTGGCTATTAGACAAAAAGCTAGATATATGTTTTTTTTCATGAAACTCCGCAGAAGTAGAGCGGAAGTGACGACTTTTTCGTAAGCGACTGCAATTAATTACGCGCATCGACAGCCGCGCACTTAATTCGAATGTAAAGCCCGCGGCACACAATGTTTTCTTGCCGGATTCCTTACAAAAATCTAATGGCCAATTTATTGCTGAAGGACCATAATTAATTACTTATTTGGAGTACTAAAAGTACTGAACCACTGAACAATAGTGCTTTTAATACTTAAAATAAGTAATTCGAGAGTAAAACGGCACACGACGCATATTTTCCTATCGAATCTCTCTATATAAATCTAATAGTGGTCAATTTATTACTGAAAGATATAAGTAATTAATTACTTATTTTGAGTACTAAAAGTACTGAACAATATTACTTTTAATACTTAAAATAAGTAATTTAAAAGTAAAGCTTGCGACACACACGATGCATGTTTCCCGCTGAATCCCTTACATTATAAATCTAACAGTGGCCAATTTATTATTAAAGGACAGTAATTAATTATTTGGACTAAAAATTTGAACAACGATGCTTTTAATACTAAAATAAGGACTTAATTATTGACTAGTATTAAATTTCTATATGGGATTGCTTGCATTTTAGTAAATTACTGAGTTCTGTGTGGTAGAATTCTAGCAATTTACTAAAACGCAAGCAATCCAGTAGGAAAGAAGCATCGTGTGACACAAACTTAACTTTCGCGAGGTAAAGCGGATAAAGGTAAAAAAGGAACGACTCCTCGCAGCAATCCCGGTGGCAATAAATACGATTGCCGACGGTGATTCTCGACGGTTGTTTCCTCTCGTGAAATTGACGCTACCTATTAGAGAATAAAAGTTAGTAAAAGAGCGACCAGCCAACGGTATCTCTCTCGAATTGAGACTAACCATTAGACTCTTATTGGTCCTTCCTTTACTACTACGACGTCGTTCGTGGCGACGTTTCGCCGATGTCGAAACGGTAAGAAAACATTTTACATCAAAGAGCCCTTTCTTTCGCTCTATTGGAAGAGCCGGGTCTAATTTCCTGTCCAATTTGTGCGGCGCTTTGTACGACGGCGATCGACGACGACGACGACGACGACGACGACGACGACGACGTCGCCGCCGCTGCCGCCGCCGCCGCTGTCGTCTCCCTAAAGTCCTCGTTCGAGGAACGAGCAATGGGGAGTAACGCGAAGCAGCGCGAAGCGACTCACCGTCGGCGGTATATTGTTCTTTTACCGCAGGCCTCCGTAAATACTTTAATACGTTACGTTCGATCGTGTCCTGTTATTATTTATACTAACACATATACATAGATATATTCGCCCGTGTACCCGCCGTACCCTCTATTTTTATCTAAACTTATAACCAGCTCGGACATCGCCGGGATAATTTACCTTCGTCGAGAGTCACGGATTCGCGACGCTATTCGCGCCTCGTGTTCGTTAAAGCCGGATTCAGGTCGAGCAAATGAGCGTGCGAAATGCGAATGAATGACTGATGGCGATGTCATTCGCTCGTTGAAGAAACTTATTCTTCCTTGTCATTCCTTCTCATTTATTCGTCCAAAATCCTATACGGTGAACCCGCGAAGAAGCGCCGAAAAATACTTAGAATTGACTACGAAAAGCGAGCTGAAAAAAGAAACAGAATTTTATCCGAAGTTATACCGCACTCAGAAAAAAAGACATAGTAGCAACTATAAAAGTGACAACTATACAAGTTTTATAAGTAGAATTAATGTATATAGTTGAATAAATTACAGTTGTCTAAATTATAGTAATAACTATTAAATAATTTATTCAATTATGTATATTAATTCTACATATAAAATTTCTGTGAGTATTACTTTTATAGTTGTCATCATTATAACTTTTTTTCTAAGGTAGTGTCTTATAAGAAAAACAGAATTTTATTCGAAATTACACTACACTCAGAAAAAAGACATAGTAGCAACTATAAAAGTGACAATTATACAAGTTTTATAAGTAAAATTAATGTAGTTGAGTAAATTACAGTTGTCTAAATTATAGTAATAACTATTAAGTAATTTATTCAATTATGTACATTAATTCTACATATAAAATTTCTGTAAGTGTTACTTTTATTGTCATCATTATAACTTTTTTTTCTAAGGTAGTGTCTTATAAGAAAAAACAGAATTTTATTCGAAATTACACCACACTCGGAAAAAAGACATAGTAGCAACTATAAAAGTGACAATTATTATAAGTAAAATTAATGTAGTTGAGTAAATTACAGTTGTCTAAATTATAGTAATAACTATTAAGTAATTTATTCAATTATGTACATTAATTCTACATATAAAATTTCTGAAGGTATCACTTTTATAGTTGTCATCACTATGACTTTTTCTCTATATAATGTAGTTTTATAAATGCAGCAACTATAAAATAATTTATTCAACTGTGTGTACGATATATTCATTCTACATATAAAGGTCATATAGTTGTCACTTTTATAGTTGCCACTACTATACTTTCTCTGATTGTAATTAGTCATATCCGATGTAACTCATCGTCATCACACGAATCGTGACGTCTCTCTAGGGACTAAAGGCGGCCGAGTCGGTAGAATCGATTCGATCCGATTGAGCTACGTCAACAGGAATCGCGTGGAAAAAACGTCGGACGGGGATCGCTCGGCCGTGCCGGGAAGCTCGGCAAAGCGCGAGAATCGACCTAACTACGAAAAGCGGAAAAGTTAGAAAACCAACTGGGACTCGGGGGTGCGGCAGGTAGGGACGAAGAAGCGACGGAGTGCGAAAGAGCAAATTTACGTGGAGAGCAAACGCCGGACGCGCAAACACGCCGAGCTCCCCGTTCGCGCGTTCCAATCAGGATCGGACTGAAAATAGGGGTGACCGAGCCTCGACTACGCTCGATTCCACAATTATGCATTTCACCGATTCAACCCCCCCGCCCACCCCCACACCACCCGGACTACCAATTGTTTTTCAACGGACGGGACGAAACGAGAAATCGATACGACGCGAGAGATCGCCCTCAATCGTTATCGTTAATTCAATAGAGAGTCTGAATTCTCACCGACCGATCTACGCAGTAGGAAAGCAAAGCATGTGATTGTATCTTTTTTTCATTTTTTCTTTTCATTTTTTTTGAAAGTTGATTTTAAGAGAAAATTTGTCTCTAAGTCTCTATTATTAAATAATGTCATTAAAAAATATAATATTTTATAATTTTATATATATATAGTTCTATTTTAAAACAAATTTAATGCAATTAGACATTATGTAATAAAAATCATTGTTTATTTTTACTGGAGTATTTTTACTGGACAATCTTATTATAGAAGAAAAGAGAAACTATTTGAAAACTGTTTAAATTTTTTACTTTATATATAGAAATTTATATAACTACTTATAATTATCTGAGATTTTTTATAGATAAGTAAATTGATCTTTAGTCTGTTACGTCACGTTCGACTTTCTTCTACATCAGTCTTTGTGTTTAAAAATATTAATAATATAAAAATTATTAATATTACGAATTGAAGCTACGCATTATTTTTGTTTATATTGTCATCAGATAATTTATTGCGTCGCAAACTGTAATATATTATAATTACTTTCCCTTTGATCGCAATCAAAATTATTCACTTGCAGATAGATAATATCAATTTGCAAATTACTTTCCGAGGTTTATAAATGAGTATTAAATATATCAAATCGTTTCTATGTAACAATCATTAATGATATTTCAGAAAATTAAAAAATATCTTCAATAATTTGTAATATTCTTCTTTTTCCTTAAGAAATCAATTTTTGTATTAATACGACATATCGCGTGTTTAAAACGGCTGTAAACATCATAGTTGCTTCAGAATTTTTCGTAGATAAACGCTCGAAGCGTCCTCGAAATTGCGAAGTCACGTTCGGGCGTTGATGAAATCAGCACTTAAGAGCGGCCGCGTTTCAAGAACGTACCTATGTAAGTCCTTACGTCGTCGTAAACGCGATTTTTTCAACTGATAAATCGGCAAAACGCGTAGTGTCTTGCGAATAATAATTTGCTGGATCGTCCATATTGTATGTTGCCCTGCCAATCGATCGAATTGATTCCCTTCGTAAAAAATGAGATCAATCTTAAGTTATTCCACGCGCGGAAACAGAAAAAACCTCCGGTAATGATGCCAGTAATGGGCAATGGTAACATTAACCCACTAATGCTAATAATAACAAACAGACAAGGACAAATATCGCTGAGATAAAAAAGTTACTAGATGATAAAAGAAATCGATCCTAAAGACTGATATACTTTTGTGGAAAACAATTTCTTTAGTTATATGGATTTTTTTATATGGAAAGGTATATATAACTCTAAAAAGGGGTGAAAATTACATTAGGATTGCATGGTGTTCGGATTTTTATTGATAACATAATTCTAAAAAATACATTATAATTGAAAATATAATGGAAAAAAAGGAAAATTATACATAGAAAGAATAAATAAGAATTTAGGTACAGATCTGAAAAAATAATTTTTGTAGAATCATCAAAATATTTATGCAGCAAACTCAAATCGGTTGTTAAAATGTTAAAACTTTTTGTAGCACATTTTTCTTATCAAAACTTAAGCTCTTTATATAATTATTTTCATAATCCAATCAAGTGTTTTTAATTTATATCTATATGTTGAGAGAGAAAAGGTTGCAGTTACTATAAAATCTATAGTCATTTTGGAAAACTATATAGTTGTTTTAACTACGTTAGTAGTAAAAAATATTCAATTGTGCTATTAATAACGCTGCTTAAAAATCTTTAGCATCTAAAAATCGTTTTCTTTTAATATATATTTTAGTTATTACATATTAACTCATAAATAGTAAATGAATTTAAAGAAAATAGTTATATTCATTACAATTGCGATTGAACTTACTGATTAAAAATGTTTATTTCATTTACTATTTATATCTTGATAATTTATTATATCAATATTAAAAATTTTTCTAATTAATAATATCATTTTTTTTATATTTTAGAAAACTGTATATGACGTTATTATCATTAACATTATGGTAGTAATAATCATAAAAATTCCCAACCATAATTATTTTACCATGTAATTACAGTCGCAAATATCGAACACTTTTCTCTCGATGTAGCTAAATTTTTAGATACGTCAGAAAACCTATTCCGTGTAGAAATTATAATGAAAAGAAAGAAAAGTTAAACAAAAATTGCATATTCACTATCCTAATTAAAACATTATTTTAATTCAGAATTTAAAAAACGCTCTCTACTATATATATATATAAAGTTTTTGTTAATTTTGAAATG